TCTGCAGAATTCTACCAAAAATAATTGTGAATGTAAATAGGTGCCATGAAGTAAAATGTCTTGTTCTGCCAGGCCTTTATATTGTATAGATAACAGAATGAAGTCCAAAGAATATAATATGTGTATATCAATGATGACTTTTCCATAGTTATCAATATCAGAATAGGAATACAGCATATCGCAAGGCACAATTTTTGCAACGTTTGGAGGGACTGCAATGACATGTCATTTATTTTCCCTGAAACCCAGTTTGCTTAGAATGACATCATACAATTTTAAATCATGGCTACGTAGAACAGCATGCCACAGAGAGAGACAAGTATGTCATTTCTCCGTTGACTTAAAAATCTCTTTGGCTTTATTGAGATGTTCACCCAAGCTGTTTGTTTTTATGATGGGAGTTGGACATTCATCCAGGCTTCATAAGCCATGGTTTCTGAAATCCAGGAGGTGGAGCTGTGTTAATCCATTGCAGCAAAAATGGCAAATAATATCAGCAGCACCTTGAAAATTAACAAGTTTTATTTGGAATAATTGAGGTATGACAAGCACACAACATAATGGGACAATTATTTATTTATTTATTTAGCAGTTTTGTATGCCGGTCTTCTCACCTCTATTTGAGGGACTCAGGCCGGTTTCCAACATCCATATTACAAACAGTCATTAAAACATCAAATTCTAAATCACACTAAAACATTAAAATAGCAAATACAATCATATGATTACAGTGGTCAGTCGTCATCGAAAATCCTTATTCGTCGTCATCCATCCATATCACAGGATCATGGCTCATTCGTTGAAAGCCAATCCCCAAAGCCAAGTTTCCCTCGACTTGGAAGATATAGCCTCTGTTAATACAGGAAGAGATAGTATTTGTCCTCTTTACTGTAGGATCATGAAAGATTGCCGTCTTTTATAAAGGGTATTCCAGATAGAACATATTAGTCTTTATGATGCCACAAGATTATTCATGGGTTACCTTTTCCCTGGCTTGGATTAACTCATAATTCTGCACATATGTCTTGACTGTGGAACTATGGCTTAATGTAGTAGCCAGACATTGATTCTGGTTTAACTGATCATTATGGAGAGCTTGTTGCTTCAGCTTCAAAGTTCATTACTTCAGTTACAGTTGCTTTTAATGTAAGGAGAATTTGTGCACAGAAAGCAGCTGTCAAAGGCAGTTACTATTAGCTCACAAACCTTGGTTTTAAAAAAACACTGCCAAACCAGGTTATCTAATCATGATTTGATGCTAATTTACAAACCTTCACTTTTGTTAATCCCATTTTGCCATGATGCTTGAATTAAGACATTTTGTATGTCTGCTGTGGAGATGAAAGTGAACATATGCAACTGAAGGCAGAAGATCTTCAGGAAAGCGGAGACCTTGGTTTGTCTATGAGACGTTTCAAAGTCCAGTACTAATACTATCAAGCGTAGACTCACTGCAAGGAATAAATATTCTTAAATTCTATTGACTTCAATGCATCTCTTTCGAATTAGAAGAAGTGTAGGATTAGCCAAAGCTATAGGAGCCCCCGGTGGCGCAGTGGGTTAAACCCCTGTGCCGGCAGGACTGAAGACCGACAGGTCGCAGGTTCGAATCGGGGGAGTTCGGATGAGCTCCCTCTATCAGCTCCAGTTCCTGATGCGGGGATATGAGAGAAGCCTCCCACAAGGATTATAAAAATATCAAATCATCCGGGCGTCCCCTGGGCAACGTCCTTGCAGACGGCCAATTCTCTCACACCAGAAGCGACTTGCAGTTTCTCAAGTCACTCCTGACATGACAAAAAAAAACAAACAAACACCCAAAGCTATGGGTTGTTGTAGGTTTTTTGGGCTGTATGACCATGTTCTAGATGTATTTTCTCCTAGGATGAAAATAAAGGAGAGAATACTTCTAGAATATGGCCATACAGCTCGAAAAACCTACAACAACCCAGTGATTCCGGCCATGAAAGCCTTCGACAACACAGCCAAAGCTATGGTTGAAGTCTTTAACTCTGGTTGGCAGGCATCATTTTTGACATTGTCTTTAGCTGCACTCCTTACACATAAACTTGTTTTTACCAGTCCCTTAAAGTAGGTAGGCTTGCACTGATACTGAAAATGCTATACCAATTACTACGAAAAAGCACCAGGCGAGAAAATTTAGTGCTTCAGAAAGATGTTTAGCTTTGACCCATGTCACATGTCTCTTGTGTAGCTGTATTCTGCCACTGGAACAGCTCATTCAGCAGCATAATAATATAGCTTTCTAACAATCTTGTAAGATTGCAATGGGATGCTTGTAAGAGTGAAGGCAGTCTCTTTGGGGTTCTTAAGAGTTTTGGCCTCTGTAGATTAAATTCGACCTTTCTAAATTGCTTCCAGAAAACAATATGTATCCAATGCAAATGTTGGAGGAGTGCTGGTGTTCCAGCAGCCAGCCACCCTGGCAATCAGGCAGCCGTGTTCCAAGTTGTCGCTCAAGATGTGGCTCTATAGACCAACTTTAAGTAATATTAAAACACTTACATTTGTTTGGGAGACTGAAAGATGGGCCATTTGTTCTGAATGGAATGGTTTTCAGTAGATACGAACTTCTATTTGGCTTTTTGAGAGTTTAGAATGAAATGCCATATTTTTTAAAAGCTCCAAAAACATTGATAACACAATGTAGAAGCGGATTGTCCTTTCCTCTTCACACACTCTGTCTATACCTGCTGATTTCAACAGATATGCAGCTTTACTACAATTCATGTACTTTAAGACTATTGGTTACAATCTCCCAATCTGGTTCATAATGGGGAAAACCATTAAAGCTAAGGCTCTTTGTGAAGTTGGGGGGGGGGGGGGGAGAAAATAATACCTGTGCTTGGTGACTGTTTAGGCCGAGTAAAGGAAACAAATTACTTGAATAACCACCTAGTATAGTTAAAACCACCTAAGCAGGACACAAAATGACTGGTTGGTTGGTCTTCATCAGTGTAAGGCAAAAGCAGCTAGATTCCCACGTTCCTTAATTCATTGACCTACGGTTTCCATTTTTCAGTACCGGTAGTGCTGGCTGTTGTAGATGGGAATTGCAGCTGAAGCAACCTTCAAAAGGCCTTTAGTTTTCTGCACTCTGGTATGAGGTTTTGGGGAGTCCAGCAGCATGTCCTCTATATGTATACACACACACGCACACACACACACACACACATACTAAGAACATGTAAATGAAGTTAAAAGGGTGATCTATGAAGGATTCTCCATGGCCGTTGCAAACCGTGGCCTTCGAGTAAAGTGGGAAAGGCCATGTAGGGGGTGGGAATCATGCAGTCCTCCAAAGATTCTTGGATTGCAGATCACAACATTCTTCATCATTGACTGTGCTGCTGACTGCTGATGGGACTTGCAGCCCAACAATATCTGGAAGTCTGCATGATTCCCACCTCTGCCATACATCTTTGTAAACCTAGTTATCCCATTTGTTATGATGGATATGGGAATAACTGTATCTGAGGATGAGTGACTGTGGCTTGCTCACAGCACTATGTGGGTTAGATACTAGGCCCTCCTAGATTATAGCACATCTTTTTTACCACTCCACAACCAGTTGTCCTCTTAGCTGTACTCAGAAAGTGTATTCTAAGAAGCTGGCCTCTTGTTTTAGTTAATACGTTCCTGAACTTGATAATGGAGAACCCTAGTAGAATGCATGACTTTTGCCAGAATTTACGATAGAGTTGCTCCTAGATGACCCAGAAAATTCCTAAAGAGGCATCCTCTGTAGGGATTTGCTACGTCTTCCATTGTGGTTCTATTGTAATTTTCAGAGGAAGCATGGCATAGAACTGGGAAGACTTAGAAAATGTCTAGAGTGTATTTTGTCGGATGCCAGTAGGTGAAACTGCAGATATTGACTGGTCTGCAGGTATAGGCTCATACTATGTGAATGAATTTTATTGAAAGAAGCTGTGAAACATTTCTGAATTTGGCAGATGTGCTTATGCAATCTTATCTATGTATTCTTTGAATTAAGTGCCACTCTGTTCAAGAGGACTTAATATTTGAGGACTAACAGCTTAAGAAGCCAACTATTCACATCAGAATAGGACTCACATGGCTCATCAGATGTTGGTGCATTGCAACCTCTAGCATTCTTAAGTATTGGCTAGTTACTCTAGACACAACACTCTTCTACTTTCTGTGTGCAACCAAGAAGATGGCTGATTGTGTAGAGCAGGCAAACTAGAAGGGCCTAAAGTCCTCTGTATTTTTTCTTACAGTATAAATGGGTCTGAAATCTGCACTAATCAATGCATGTTGCTCTTGGTGGTACTTCAGCATAGCACACTGAATCAGCTAATACATCATTTTGATATGCATTGGCAGACTAAAACAAGAGCTTCCAACTTTAAATTGTATATTTTTTTTCTTGTATCTGAGGATGAGTGACTGTGGCACTGAAAGTCATCTAAATTCAACAAAGTGATGGAAATAATAGAGAGCAAGGGAGTTGGGAAGTCATAAGAACCAGATAATAGTACCTAACAAATAGAGCATATTTCATTTTGTCTTCAGGAGTTTGCTCAAAAAAATCTTATTGGTTCAGTGGAGTTTAAATGTGAAAGTGGAATAAACAATTTCATGAGAAAGTATCATGAGTTAACTGCAAGCTTGATTTTGTTTTTGGCCTGGCTCCATCTTTTTATGGGGCCAGATTGAAAGAGTTCTTCACCCTATCCTTCATAGTTCCTTCTTACTTCATATCAACCACAACAGGGGAGGAAATTGTCTGGCTTTACAGATATTGTTGGTTAGCAAATCCCAGTTTGGCCAATATTGGCGAGGATTTCTTGGAGTTGTGGTCCAGCAACTTGGAAGGCCACACAGTGTCCACGCTGTACAAGTACATTCTCCATTCCTTGAAAAACCGTTTTAAGTGTCAGTTTAACTGCAGTTTAGGATGTCTTGACTGAGCCCCCTCTGATGTTTTATGGTTTTTTTTCCTCCACTTTTAGTGATGGTATCCCTCCTTATAGACTTGGAAGCAAAAAGCAGCTTCAGAGGGAAATGCATCGTAGTGTCAAGGCCAATGGTCAAGTTTCTCTACCTCACTTTCCGGTAAGTACAACTGATTACTTTGCTAAATAATGTGGCCTTGAATTGATAGGAAAATGGTTGAGTGATGATGATCAGCCTTTGTCTCATTTTTTCTGTCCAAAAAGAATGATTAGATGTTGGGAATACCTGGTCCAGATGGAAACGTTTTCATTGGAGGTAGTAGGCCTGATGTTTTAGGCTTTTTCTAGTCATCAACTTAGATCACAGGAAACACAGACATTTGTGTTATATGAGTTTGTTCATTTAATCCAGCAAGAATGTCTGTGTAGGAAAGGGACTAAATTATGCGGTTCTTCTTGGAACATGGAACCCACATCTAGCTGTTTGTCAAGGCAAAGAGGTTAATGATGAAAATAATGTTTTTATCTATGAAAGGTATATTATCACAAGGGTCATATGGCATAGCTTCATTCTTCTTGCCATGAAACAGTAACTTTTTAGTTACTTTGATGTTTATAGAGGTTCTACCTCACCTAAATGGTGGAGGAGAAATGCCACACAGTTCAACTGTCAACTTACAGTAATTCCATTAACTTCATAAGGGTGTCCTAGGCAAGCACTACACAATGGTGGCTTTGCCAGTACGTTTTTCTGAGATAAAATCTACAACAACTAGTAATCCTTGCAGGGGTCCCTCATCCAAGGACTGACCGGGCCTGATGCCTGACATTTGTCTAGCCACCCAACTTTGATCATTCTCTGTAATCTGTGGGTGCTATGGCCCACTGCCCTTCACCGAGAGTCTTTCCCCAGTTTGCATCATTTTGGAGAAGAGTTTTGAGGAGTTGGTCACTGTGTGGGTGGTGGACAACAAATCAAAGCACCACCTCTCTTATACCACTTGGGGATATGACTAAGCTAAGGTGCCAGCAGCAAAGAAAAGTGTTTATGCAGGTGCTATAAAGCAGATTACCCTCACCTTTTAGTGGATTTCCAGATAGTGAAATCCCTGATACAATTCTACCTCAACCTTTTCCCCTACTCTACATCTCCAATTGTTTCCATGGTCTGTAGAAGAACTAGCTTGGATACCTCCCTCAGCATTTTCTATCCTTTGCAAGTTGAATCTGCAGATTCATTCCTCTTCAGTCAGCATGGCTCCATATGACCCAGCCTGTGGCTCTCCTCTAGTTATCATTTGTCCAGAACTGGCATGGAGGCTACCTGTTGACTGCATGTGATCCTTTTCCTCGGGAGCTTTCAGAAGCCTCTGGTTATTTTCTCTTTGATAAAGACTACAGACCAGATGTAATCCTAGCCTGATCCAACAGGACTTCTTTTGAACCTTTCCTTCAAGGGAAGGGCAACTTGACACCCTTTGGATGTTTTGTACAACACATCCCATCACACCTAACCATGGATTATGCTGACTAGGGATGATGGGGGAGATGTATCCTAAAATCCCTGCAGATGTCTGTGTGTACCAAGGTGGTTAAACCCATTGCTTGATCTATTTCCCTGTTACAGGCATCTCTGTGTCTTGCTTGACCTGGAATTACATGTTTCCAGTCACAACTCTTAAAAGGATAGATTCTGGATGGAAATCATATTCTTCCTCTATACAACAAACACACTTTTCATGAAGACAGCTTTACTACAAATCTGTCTTCTAGAAGCATTTCTGTTGCATCACTGTAAAATGCCTGCTTCCTGCCTATCCAAGGCATAGATTGGGGAGCTGGGGGCAAGAGATTCTTCAGTCTCTTCTCTACTTCCATTGCTTTAAAAATATGTATTTATTTGAGGTGAATGCTTCACATCTTCTGCTCTGCTTCTGGACATCAAAGGGAGAAAAACCCACCAGGAGAGATCCTGTTCTCATTTGAAATCCCTGGGAGTTCTCCTATTTATTTGAGTAGAGCCAGGATTTCTCCCACTGTTAGCAATGTCTTGGCAGGAAATACATTTCCCAGCTTTTCCAACAAAAAAGAGGACAGTTGTAGCAAATATATGTACCTTCCTTCAACCTCCCCCCCTTTAAAAATAAGTTTTGAGTGGCTATTGGTTTCAAGGCAGGTAGTTAATTTCATTCTGCATCTTCGAAATTTGACTCACCCTCTTATCTAGAGCACCATAGGTTTCGTAAAGGTGTTGGTGTAATTCTCCTTGTGAATAATACTTTATGAAACTGTGTAAACGGACAAATGCAAACTTGCCTTGTGATTAGAGGAACCATATTCCTCTTCCTGCTGTCTTCTTAAGAAGCAAGATATTCCATATACATGTTTGCATGTGTGTGTGTGTGTGTGTATAGATATATATACACACTATATATATATATATATATATATATATATATATATATATGAGAATGAATATGATCTGCAGAATCGCTTTGTGCCTGTATGCTCCTTTTATTTATTTATTATATATTTTTGCTCTTCTTCCATAAAGAAAGTTCTATAGCCTCTGCTTGTAAATTAGATTATTTTGTCCTGGGGCGTGCAAATCGACTTTCTCTGTAAGGCAGTGCTTTGATCAGGGAACTGAATAGAGCCAGCTTGTGTAAGAGTGACAATTTCCAGCAGAGTGGCCTTTTTCTACCCTCACATCATTTCTGAAGCTAAGTGGTTGCTGGAGAGAGAGAGAGAGAGAGAGAGAGAGAGAGAGAGAGAGAGAGAGAGAGAGAGAAGCACTACTCATCTCATGGGTAGTATGTGAAAGAGTTGGCATTTCAGCTTTCGGCTGTTAAAAAAAAGTGGTGTGTATGTGTGTATGTTTATGCAGAATGTAAGGGTAAAGGAAATAAATGGGGGTGCTTCTGGGCATACGAAGGGGGAAAGTGATAGGAAACAGCTTTCCCTCATTCCTTGCTTCTTTTTGGCAGAAATTCTCATTTGCCTTTTTATATTCTACACTTGATTTGGAGATGTTCCCTTTTCCCTTGATAGATCTGCTTGAGGCAGGCACGCTCAGCAGTATATCGCTGCTTGCCTGCAGCAGCTTCCTTCATTTTCTGTACAAAGAGATGGAGGGCGAGGGAGGGGGTGAAAGAGAGGGGGAGAAGAGAGAGAGAGAGAAGAGAAGAGAGATCTAGGACACTGTTGAGACAACACTACCTCAAAGGTGCCCAGTGTGTAGCCAGGAAATAAATTACCAGCACTTCTCTGATCTGCAACCGTTTGACTTCTTTTTTCTCCCCCCCTCCCCAGTTCCCTTCCCTTTTTCTCCCCCATCTTATTTTTTTTAATTTCCAACTCCTTTCTGTTTATACTCCCACTTTTATTCCTTGAGTTAAAGTCCTCTCCCTCCCACCTCAGAGTTTTTTATTTGATGTTTGACAACAGTCTTTGAAGATTTTCTACTTCAGAGTAGCTACTGATGGGCTGGTTGTACTACAGAGAGAACAAGCAGGGTTCCTCGGAGTGCGACCAACTGCTCCTGCCGAAGGCAAACGCTATTGGGGAGGATGTCACTCCATGAGGCCACAGCACTAGCTCATAAAAATCCAGAGCAGACCATGCCTAGTTGCGGTCGTCTTTTCATCCAAACATGGAGACACAACAAGCTTAACGGGTCCAGAAATGCCGCTCGAGCTAAGCTGCCGTGGCTTCTGCCGCCTGCTAAACGTCGCTCGTTGTTTTTGTCCCCGCTCTGTGTAGAGAACTCACCGCCTTCCTAGGGAAATGACCCCCGTGGAACCAGCTGCTTTTGCCGCCGAACTCATCTCTCGGTTGGAAAAGCTCAAGCGGGAGCAAGAGACCATGGACTCTCTGGAGGAGAGGTTGCAGCAAATCACAGAGGTAGGTGGATTAACTTGTTCATCCTGGGTGCCTGCTGTGAAGTCCCCATCTCCCCCCCCCCCATGCCATGACTGCCATACACCCACCATTGGGGGCATGAGAGAGGGCTAGGAGGGCAGCCAGAAGGGGGTGCTGAGTATCCAAAGTACTGAATGTGTCATTCATCATGTCCGAAGTAATGTAGAATAAGTGGCAGCTTTTGTTGCCTTGCATTTAAAGACACCTCCCACCACCACCCCAAGAAACCTCAAGGCAGGTTTTCCTTGCGTCTTCTGGATCACTCTTACCGAACAAACCAACCCACCTGACTCCACAGGTCTGTTCTTTCCCTCTTGAGGGTGATAAGCAGAAGCGTGTAATTACCACAGACCTGCAAACTGCTCTATGTGGGACTCCCTTTGAGAAGCATGTAGGAACTTGTTAGATCCATAACAACAGTGGAAGTGGGACGTGGGGCTCGCTTTCTACTGGTCACCAATCTGCATGTAATTTAAAGTGCTGGTTTCGACTTCTAAAGCCCAGCATGACAAAGGACCAGCCAGTTGACTATATGCTTGCCTGGATCTGAGGTCTCTTGGGGGAAGGTCGTTTTCTCCTCTTTCGCTGCCTGTGGTTGATGGGGATGGAAGAGAGGGTTTTCTCACTGACCACACCCAGGTTCTGAGAGGGAGGCGAGGCTGCCTTTGCGCTGACAGGCATTCCCCTTCCTATTTAGACGGGCCTTTGGCATCAAAGGTGGGTTGTGGCTCAGGGAGGAGGGCTTTGACGGGTTGGGTGTTATTGTTTCTCTCTGCTCGTGTGCCTTTCATCTGCTTTTTACATTTTAATTGTCTTTGCTTTTATCTGATTTTAGCGCCATTAATTATCTTGAGTGTCATGGAGTCGGGTTGGGTGGGGAGGGGGGATGTGAGGTTGGTTGACAGAATAAATACATAACAAAAATTCCTGAGGCAATGACTAGCTATCCCATTTTCAGCATTAGTGTTTCATTGGTTGGTTGTTCTTTCTTCTGAAGGATGAAGAGAAGGAGGGATCTGATGTTCCTGTCAGCTCACAGGCCACCCGAGAAGTTACACCTGTCCAGCATCAACAGCATCCCCTGACTCTCCTCCCCTCCAGCAGCTATGAGGACGATCCCCAGGCCATCCTGGATGACCATCTTTCACGGGTGCTGAAGACCCCGGGGTGCCAGTCTCCTGGCATGGGACGACATAGTCCTCGCGCACGCTCTCCAGACCGCTTCCCGAGTGGCAAATTGCTACTGGCTCCTGGCACGGCCTCTATACCCAACGCCTGTGCCCTTGTCAGCAAAGGATTTGTCACCAAGCAGACCACCAAGCACGTTCACCATCACTACATCCACCACCACACCATTCCCAAAACGAAGGAGCAGATAGAAGCAGAGGCAGCACAACGAGCCCAATGCTTGGGTCCTGCAGGGAGTGACTACTATTGCTACTCCAAGTGCAAGGGCCACTCAAAAGGGGTGGAACTTCCTGTGGCGCAGCTGGAGCCCTTTGGGTAAGTTCACTCCTGTGCAAATTCAAAAGTCAAGTGACAGGTGGAGAGGATGTGTGGAGAAATGTGACAATTTGACTGCATTGTGTGTGTCATGCCAGCTTTCCTAAACACGGTGAGATTCTTGGTAGTGTATGAGAGATCACAAAGAGAGAGAGAGAGCAGATGGGGAAGCAGGTGAGCTGAAGGGAGGTGTATGTGTATGTTGTGTGTGCATTTCAGGAATCAACGGTTGTGGTAAGAAGCTAAAGTGATGCTCTCCCTTCTCTTGTGACAGCCTCAACAGAACAGGGACACTTCCGAAGAGGAACTGTAAGCTACCAGATGGCGTCCTCCTCCCAGGTGGAGAAGGAGGAGGGCTCTCCATCCCTCCAGGGGTCCAGCTACCTGCGGGGGAGGCTGACCGATCACAGAACGTCTGGCAATGGATGCTGGAGAGTGAAAGACAATCCAAGCACAAGCCCCATAGGTAAATATAAGCTGTCTGCAACAACTCTTGCTCCTGGTAAATATTTATCTATTACACAGCTGTCTATTTTTACAATCACTAAAAACAAATGAAGCTCTTTTGCTCCTCCGGTTTAATATGAAAGCTGTTCTGTGGAACCAGAAAAACCACAAAAATGTCATGTTTTTGGCAAGAGGCCCTTTTCATGTTATGACAGACTTTTTCTTTTCTCCCCCCCCCCTTTTTTTTTTGAGAGAGAGAGTGTGCACTGAACAGAAGCTGCTGTTAAAGTCATATTTTCCAGCTTTTATAACCTTGTACCTTTCCTCCCCTGTCTTTCTCTCTTCAGCACACAAAGCACAAAGAAGGCCTACAATTCGGAGTCCTCCAGAGGCGGGCCTGGGGAGCGTCCTGCCCGTCACCACCTGTGGGGGAGCAGCAGCCATCCGCGGGGCGTTCAGCCAGCCCACCCTTTTGTCCAGGACCCGGCCATGCCCCCTCTGACGCCCCCCAATACCCTGGCTCAGCTGGAAGAAGCTTGCCGCAGGCTAGCAGAAGTATCCAAGCCACAGAAACAACGGTAACATCTCACTGGAAACCTGAAAAAGCTAGGAGGCAGGGACTGGGAATTATTTCTTGTGTCATTTTCAATCACTTTGGGGGCGTTTCCTTTTCTGTTTTGGGAGGGGACGGGAAATTAATTTTTCTATCTAGCCCTCCTGGAAGCTGCAAGACGTGGCTGTTTAGTAATTTCCCAAAGTGTCGGAGCAGGAGTTGGTAGGACCTGAGGAGGTGGTCAAAAGGGCCCTTGAGGGGGTTGGATGTGCTCCACGGGGTATGGTATATGGTAACGAGGTCCCTTCTACACTGCCATATAATTCAGATTATCAAAGGAGATAATCCACATTAACTGCTTTGAACTGGATTACATGCGGCTACACTGTCATATAAACCAGTTCAGAGCAGATAATCTGGATTTTATATGGCAGTGTAGAAGGGACCTGAGACTTCCAAATGAACATCCTGGAAAATCTAAATCTGGGATTCATTTAACTCTTCTAGAGATAAGAACTGGGGCTGAAGCCCAGTGCACATGTATTATTCCCACCAACTTGGTGGCATTTTAGCCTGGAAGAATCTTTGAGCTTTATGGAAACCTTTTGAAATGGAGAAGAAAGAAACTGCTTAAAAATAGATTTGTTTGCAAATTGGTTTCTGTGTTAATTTGCCTTTACTTTAGTCCTGTTCAAAACATGGCATTACTCCTCATGGCACAACACATTGTTTGCGTGTCTTTGTGATGTGGAATTATCACAGTCCTGGACTTAGAAACAAGGCTGTAGTGAGACTGAAGTGTGCCGTAGAAATTATAATCTCTCTCTCTCTCTTTCTCTCTCCTTCTCTCTTGTCATGAACAATTAGAATCCCACATTCTACCTTTATTTGTTTGCTTCCTTAATGGCCATGTATGCATTTCTGGAACTGAATCCAATGAATTGGCCAAATGATGCCTTTGCTGTTTTTCATTGGAAGACACAGGGATATTTTTGCCCTCAGCATCCTCAATTCTCCCCTTGATTGTTTCAGCACAACGATCTTAGATGTACAGGTAGGATTTTTTTAAAGTTTGATCATTCTTTTCTTTATCTCCCTCCCCTCCCCTTCCCAAACCTTTAGATGTTCAGCATCAAATCAGCCGAGGGATCGCAACCACTTGACTTCCGTACCAGGAGGAAATGGTCCTTTTTGCAATGCCAGTGTAGCAACAGAAGAGTGAGTGTTGCCATATGGAACGTGTACAGCTTAGAGATATTCACTGTCTCTTTTTTAAAATGCATATTTTATCAGTGGAGTAGTGCTTTGAAACTGTAGCCCTTTCTTGGTCGCCTGCTATTTCCTTTTGACGGGGTGAAACAAGAACAAAACGTCTGCAAGTCTTGTCTACTCGTTCTTTTTTTAGCTTGCATTCCTGTAAAGTGGACAAAGATTGGATTAATCTAATTACAGGATAGTTCTTTTTAACAAGAAATCTGCTTCAGTCTAAATAATTAAAGTTTTCTTTCTTACACTCTTCATCTTAAGCAATGAGTAATGTTTGAAGTTGAAGCTAAGCCACCTGACTATAGCCTTTCATTTTTAATTGGTTGACCTTAAGTCCACCAGCTGTCTTTGCTAGTAGCTCCCCCCCCCCCCTTTTTTTTCCCAAAGCCACTCTACAAAGACTTGGAACAAATTAGGAAGAGTAAATTACTGTGGAGTAACACTTCATGACCTTTTGACATGCCAAGTCAACGTGGCCTTAGAAGTTGACTCCATGGCATCCGAGGCACTGTTGCTTTTCCTCTGGGTAGAAGAGATGTTTGTTATTCTGTAGGAGGATCTCACTTCCTCAGGATCCCAAGATGTGACAAGGGTTTGGCTAGCTGCTCTTGTTGCCCTTCCTACCAAAGCATCAGACTCCAAACCTCTGCTTGCCTTCTTGTTGTAGCCCAGAATCTGATGCAACAAGATAGAGCTTTAATATCAGTCCAGCAGCATCCTTAGTGCTCCACATAAGCAAGAGTTTTCCTCATTCCCATCAGTATAGAGTGGTGGGTTCTCATCCGTGGGTCTCCAGATGTTTTGTCCTTCAAGTCCCAGAAATCCTAACAGCTGGTAAACTGGCTGAGATTTCTGGGAGTTGTAGGCCAAAACACCTGGGGACCCACAGATTGGGAACCATTGGTATAGAGGAATGTATAGAATATTCCTTGGTATTCAAGTGAATATTCAATGCTCCTATTCATGGAAATCTCCATGATGAAATTACAACCTCTCAAAGCTTTCAGTGATGGATCACGAAGCATCTGCATACACACCCATAAAATAGGCAGGATTGTACCCTTAATTATTCTAGATGCTTGGAAACAGGGTGTGTTAGAAATGGGGAAGTGCCTGTAGGACATCCACCAGCAAATAGGAGATCTACATCCCTGTCCATTCCCTCCTCTTAAGAAAATGTTGACTTGTATTTACCCTTCCACTTTCAATGGCTCTGCGTGTGTGGACAACAAAAGAGGAAGAGAGGGAAGTGAAACATTGGTTCTAGAGCAAAGGTGGGCAATCTGTGGGCAACTACCACTTCAGGCAACATGACAAATGGTAGTCATAGATCAAAAAGCATGAAGGCCACTGCTTCTGCATCCTAGTAGGAGGGGTATTCATTCAAAAATATACACAATATACATATAATCTTTTTAAAAGTCATAAAATATGTAAATCTTTGAGCCAGTGTGACGTAATGATCTGAATGTTGCACTAGGATTACAGGAGACTGGGGTGCAAATCTCCACTCAGTCATGGAAAGCATCTGGCCAAGCTTGGGCAAATTGCAGCCCTAGAGGAACATCATGGCAAATCTCTCTTGAATAGCTTGTGTCACTCCAAAAAAACCAACAAACGTATGATAGAGTTGTCATAAGGTGGAGTCAACTTGAAGGCATCTAGTAACAATGCAAATAATAATGAGATAATTGAAATAAATGAAATAATTATGAGATAATTGATTAAATTGAGTTTAAAACAGAAACTTGGAAACAAAGTTGTTGAATCTCTTCATGGAAAAATGCAGTAGTAGATTGATTGCTCAATTTCAGAAGATATTTTTCGATTTTTATCAATAAATTCAGCACACTCTCAAGGAATATTCATTCAAATAGTTTGCTCACATAGGCTTTAGTGATTAAGTAGCTCTTTGTCATGTTGAGTGTTAAGAACGTGGGTCTCTTAAGGTGCCAGCACTCAAACTGTAGGGAAGTGACCTGGGAGGTCACATGGATGAGAAATTACTACAAGACATCTCATTTGGTCCTCATCTTCTGTAGCTAAAGATGGCATCAGAAAACATGGACAGGACTAAAGCTTGGAGGATGTCATACAGCATTGATTGATAGTCTCAATTTCCCTTGTGGCCTGTCCAGTGTCTTGAACCTGTACACTCTGGAGTAAGTCCCTTGGAATTCAAAGGCCAGGATCCAACCGTACATCTAGAAGGAGAAGCCTCTCTGCTACTGCAACCAGGAAGAGGCGATTCTCCCTCACACATGCAGACAACCCTTGCAAAACCTTCACACTGCCTCATATCACTGGGGAAACTAGACAGAACAGAGCTTGGGTTCTGTGCATGGCTAGAGAGGAGGTGGAGGAGCAAGCCCTGCTGAGGGTGCATGGAGGTTGTATGGAGAGTAGGAACCATACTTTGCCATTTCCCCCAGTGGAGGTCTTCCACCAATTGATGTACATTGTTGGATCCCAGCCATTGTGACTTACCCTGAGTAGACACATGTAGAGTCATACCCCAAGCTTTCTAATCACAACTTGTTGTGACATTTTCTTACAAACCCAATCACCGTCTGGTTTACTTTCGGATTGAAAAGAAGAACTTATCTAGGTCAACGGAATCTGTGAGCATGATTGAACTGCTCTCTGTAATGCTGTTATGGAGAGCAGTCTCCTTTTTGCATTTTTGTTAGGAAAACATCCAAAATATATTGGAAATGGGGCCTGGCAGGACCTTGAGATATCCTTAAAATACTTGGAAACTGTGTGTAACCTACACTTCACCCACCTTTGCTCTAGAAACCAATTGGATCCACATGTAAACATTCTCACTTTGTTTTCAAGCGGCTAATTATTGCTGGAGCTTTAAAACCTGGGTGTTATTTGTTGTGACCTTCATTTGAATGCTTTACATACAGTGTAATCCTCCTCTCTCTGTTCATCAACTATCAATGTTTTTCTGGCATAGAGCCCTTAAACTTTTACTATATTAATAGACACCAGGGTTTGCTTTTAATTTTCAAGTGCTATATGTTTTTAATGGGCTTGGTGTCATATAATTGGACTCTTCTATGTAGATTTATATAGAAATATTTACAGAAAAGTACAAAATAGAAATCTCAGGACATTGTGTGGAGTCTTAACCTGTTTCTCTCCTTCTCCTTCCATGTTTCAGTCACAAAGAACCAAAGAAACTTCCTGCTACTCACTCCACCCAGCCTAGTGAGTTGATTGTCACGTATTTTTTCTGTGGAGAAGAAATTCCCTATAGGAGGATGTTAAAGGCCCAGAGCCTGACACTTGGGCACTTTAAAGAGCAGCTGAGCAAAAAGGGAAATTATAGGTAAGCATCTTTGTGGTTTCTTTCTTCTTTTCCTTGTGTTTGCACAGACGGCGTGCCAAAATAACCAAGGAGTATTTGTAAGCGTCCTCCCACAGTGAGGAAGGGCTCTTTGAAGGTTGTCTGCAGCTAGCTCAGCCGTCTCTCCAAGTTCTCCTCTCTGCTTTGTGTTTACCCACTAAAACCAATACTAGTTAAGAGTTGGGTTGGCTGCTCTGGCAACTGAATTAGATCTTACCTAGTTAGTCGACTGTTCCACTTTATTGCCAGCACAGACACCTTTTACAAGTGGATGGATGGGTCCAGGCTCTTGCATATAAAATGTTCATTCAAAGCTCTGAGTTCATTTTCTGGCTGTACTGCATTATGATTTTTTTTATTTGAAGAACTGACTAGATTTCCCTGTTGTTGATTATTTATACTGAGATGCACAGTTGTGGCCCTCTAGGTGTTTTTGAACTACAGCTCCCAGAACCCCTCACCAGTTGGGTAGGGCTGATGGGATTTGTAGGCAATTTTAAAAACTTTAGGGTCACAGCTGCCCATTTCTGTAATGTATCTTAATTATTTCACTTTGTAGTTGAGAAACTTCCAAATTGGAATCATTATCTACAAAGTAGTCAACTACAAAGGTTACTATTTGATACTTACAAGATCCCGGTTTAGTGTTTCATTGGATAAGATGTGGTATTCTTGGAATGTTCCCTTTCTTGGACTGGCATTTTGTACAAGACTAAGCAAATAATCAAGTACTAAGACAAGGTGCTGTTTGTCCATGAGTGGTGACTAAATAGTTGTGATTTAATTCAGCAAAGGAAATGGCCTATTCTGAATAATGTTGTACTTAGGATGGTATTTATTTAAGATACCATGCATGAACTCGTTGGAGAAAGATGCTGGATTTGCCAAGAGCCATGGAAACTGGATTGGACAGTGGGTTTGTACAAAAGCAAAAATTGGACAGTGAGTTAAAGTTAGAGGTGTACCACCTGATGAAATCTGGAAGGCAGTTTTGAATGGTGATAGTATCAGAGGGAGTTGATTATAATGTAGATTGAGGCTGCCTTTTAGGATTATCCCTCTCAGAAGATGGTATGTTGTTGTTGTTGTTGTTGTTGTTGTTGTTGTTGTTGTTGTTGTTGTTGAGCTTCCTGTGTAAACAGCCAAAGTGTGAACTTTTCCAACTTCCCTGTAGTGAGCTTTGTGTACTTGAAACATGTACCTCTTCCCACCAAATGTCCAAACAACCAATTTTCAAGTTGAGATAGGTGCAAATGTCCCTAGCCCACGTAACAGGGGAAAGTAACTTGTGATAATCTGTGAGCAGCAGCGGGTGCTCTAAAACTAGATAAAAATAAGCAAAGCTCAATTTCACCACACAATTCCTGTTTCAGTTGTATAGTTGTTGTTTCCTGCCTCTTCACTTTGCCTTTTGATGGCTGTTTAAACTCCCAGGCTCTATAATTTTTTTCTTTCCTCCATTGCTCTTGCACAGTTGAATTCTGGCCAGAGCTTCTAAGCATCATGAAAAAGAAAATTCTTGGAAGTTGAACCAATTACACAAAAGTTAATTTGTTTGCATGGTTTACTCTAAGCACCGAATATGATTTGTCTTGGCTTGGATTTTGGGATTTGTTTGCTATGGTGGGTGATCACACTGTCCCAAGCTTTGTTACTGAGGTCGAATTGACTTCAGAATGCAAATCAATTACAAAAGTCCTTAGTTTTGCCCTAGAAAATCTACCCCTTAAAAGCCTTTTTCCTGTTTTATAAAAGAGGCGCGGGAGAGAGAAGGCTACCTCAGAACTGTTAAGACTTCTATTCCTTTTTGCAGATCCCTTTTGTAATCTGATGGCAGACACACAGGGAACCTGGGATTGGGCCTTCTTCCTTCTTTTGGAGCGTGCTCTCCATGAAGGCTTGCCTAGGGCTGGCTCTTATCATTTTGGCACCAGGCAAAAGATCCTTTTTATTTCTTGGGCTTTTTAGTGTTCCTTAGCATTGCTCACAAGGCATCATCTGGTTTTTATGGAACTTTTCACTGCTGTTGGCTTTTAGTCTGTGAATATTTCATTTTATTGATGTGTTTTTAATATGGCTATCAACTGATTTGGAGGGGTTGCATGCATTTGATGGGAATCATGTGATAAATGTTGAAATATGTGAAGGTTTATCCCAAGATGACAGTGGATGTGTTCATAGATTACACTATGTAACAAAATGTGAAAAGTTTTCTGTTCCTGGCTTGAAAATGTCATTCCTGTTTAACTGTGCAGTACATACTTTGAAAGTAGTTGTTATAATCCAGAAACTTCGTTTTTGTGGCTGCCACAAACTATGTTGAATTGGTTGAGATATTCATTGAAAAACTATAGCAAAATGTGCTTCAGGATGTCCCGCAAAAACAAAGTTTTTCAGTTTAAAAGCTTTTTTATGCTGTTATGATAGAATCAATTAGGAAGTGACATTTATAACCCAGGAACAAAAATTGTATTACAAAGTGCTAATTGATTGAGTAGGTATCTGTAAACCATGTTGGTTTCCAGTGGCAACTAACACTAGCATGAATTAATCCTTAGTCTGAAACTTCTCTTGAGTATCCGAAGAATGCACTCTCGCTTAACTTAGAGTTTCTAGAACTACGAATACTCTAGTTTTGGGAGTAAGATGTGGATTTGTGACACATGCACTTCTGAGCATAATATTTACAAATGGCAGCTCTGTGAACTATCTGTGGTAGTAGTGTGATGGAGAGGTGTGTGTGTGTGTGTGTCACAATGCATACAAACACATCTTCAACAGAGATAAATTGGTGGTTGACTGGGAAACCTCTGAGGAACATCTAAAGAAGTTTCAGGATACCAACAAATACACTTAACTGTGGTTTTATGATTATTTGGTTCTTAAAGGACTCCATAGGCACAGTTGTCCCATCATATCTATGGATTCTATATCTATGGATTCAGCTGTCTGTAGCTTGAAAATATTTCCAAACAGAAAACCTTCTATTTTGCAATGTTCTGTGAGAGATACCATTTTACTTTGCCATTATGTATACAGACAGCCCCTGAGTTACTAACATTCAACTTACAAACTACTCATAGTTAAGAACTGAGGTGAGACAACAGGAAGAACTGGGGGGGGGGGGGGGGGGGGGGGAGAGCGAGTGTGTGTGTGAGACAACAGGAAGTAAAGGAAATCTTCCCCTTGGAAGAGAAATTCAGTCCTGGAAGAGTTATTATCATGGGGAAAAGATGTCTCCACTGAAGCTTTATCACCAAACCTTATTACCACAACAAGCCAAATTTTTCAAAATCCAATTATCACAGGGACAGAAAGGGAGGTGGGATTTTGAATGGGGGCACAGATAGCAAAACAAACATCATAGAAGTGTTAGCCTTTCCCTGTGCTACCCAAAGCTTTTTATATAAAATCATCTTAAGAACAAACTTACAGAACCTATCTTGTTTGTAACTTGGGGACTACTTGCAGTGGCACTTGAGTGGCCATAGATTTTGGTTTTCACGGGGGGTCCTGGAACCAAACCCCAGCAAATTCCAAACGCTTACTGTTTTTCTGTTTGTTCCATGACATTCTGCGATAATTAGGCTATGTTAAATTGCCTGGTCATCAGGGACCCTTTTTCAGCATGTGGGTTTCTTTTACTCTCTCTTTTTGTACCTATGTGTACAAAAGAAGCTCAGACCCATCACTATTTTTAAAAAATCTCAAACAGACACAAGGTGAAAGTAATTATCCAAATGTGTTTCTCCCCCAGGGAATCATTTTGATCTCAGTTTTTGATTCTTTTATTTTATATATTTTTTAAATTTTGGCTGGACTTGGAATGAAACCACAGGTGACCTTCAGGAACGAGGGCCTGTCCTGCCCCCTTAGTAGCTGGATTGCTTAGGGAAGATGGAGCTGGTCTCTCTGGTCACATCTGGCATTGATTTTGTTCTTAAGGCACACTTAATAAGCATGGCTTTGAAGCCTTTGCCTTTCATTTTAACACACAAAGACATGCATAAATGGTTGACACTCAGAATCCTTTATTGAACGAGTCAGTTTGCAACACAGGTACCTCGGGTTGCTCTCGGGTTGCTTGGAAAGAGAGGGCTATCCAACATAACATTTGTGGTTTAGGTATGCATCTTTTTTTATTTATGCTCACTCCCTCTCTCTATATATATATTGGATAGTTAGGTTCTTGTAGGTTTTTTCGGGCTATAGGGCCATGTTCTAGAGGCATTTCTCCTGACATTTCGCCTGCATCTATGGCAAGCATCCTCAGAGGTAGTGAGGTCTGTTGGAATTAGGAAAATGGGTTTATATATCTGTGGAATGACTGGGGTGGGGCAAAGAGCTCTCTGCTGAAGCTAGGTGTGAATGTTTCAGCTGACCACCTTCATTAGCATTTGAAGGCCTGGCTGAGCCTGGGAAAATGTTCTGTTGAGAGGTGTTAAGATGTGCCTGGTTGTTTCCTTCTGGACCACACCAACAACCACCATGTCAGACTACACAGAGAAGCCATTGAAATCCACAAGCATGTGGACAATTTCAACAGAAAGGCGGAGACCATGAAAATGAACAAAATCTGGCTACCAGTATTAAAAAACTCTAAAATTACAACAGCAAAACAGCAGAGAGGAAACAACCAAGCACAGCTTAACACCTCTCAACAGAACATTTTCCCAGGCTCAGCCAGGCCTTCAAATGCTAATGAAGGTGGTCAGCTGAAACATTCACACCTAGCTTCAGCAGAGAGCTCTTTGCCCCACCCCAGCCATTCCACAGATATATAAACCCATTGTTCCTATTTCCAACAGACCTCACTACCTCTGAGGATGCTTGCCATAGATGCAGGCGAAACGTCAGGAGAAATGACTCTAGAACATGGCCCTATAGCCCGAAAAAACCTACAAGAACCTAGTGATTCCAGCCATGAAAGCCTTCGACAATATATTGGATAGTGTTGGATAACAGTAAAAAATAGGGGAAAA